TGAGGGCAGGGCCAGGACCAGAAGCGGTGCTCCTGGAGCCCAAGAAAGGGACTGAGTTGCTCTAGGTGAGAAGGATCAGGAAGCAGTATTGGTTCCCCAGGTGTCTGGGGCCCCAAGACTAGGAATGGCGCAGGGCCCAAACTAGGAGCATAGAACGGCGGGGGGGATGGAAGGGTGAATGTGGCTTAGGGAGTCCCGGCGCTGAGGGCTGCGCTATAGACTTACCCCAAGAGGCCTGAGGATAGTAGTCCTCCCTTTACAATTTTATGTTTAATCTTTTGGTACCCTTAAAGTTTATTTTGGCAGAAAGAACAATGTTAAGACCCAACTTTATACTCTTTCCTCCCCACTTCCAGGGGACTAACTGTTGTTTAGTGAGAATTTAACCCGCTACCTAGCTAGCAGTTTCATTGTTGACTTTGTAAGGGGGGGGGCATTACGTGTGATCTAGTTGGCCCTGCCTTCTGTTCCCTGTGGATTGCTCGGGTTTCTTGACAGACCGTGCAGTGCTGTTCCCTTCCCACCTTCTTGCTGGGGCTCCTTGAAGCTCTTGGCTGAGGAAGGTGACTTTCCTTGAGAATATGCTGGTGTCCTTTTTACTGGATCCCAGAACCACAGCCCAGTTCTTCCCGAGTTTCATCTTTGAGTGCTTCCTGGTGACTGGATGCCACTTACCTTAGGTGGTCTAGTATGCATTTTCTGTCATTGGGATGGAAATATTCCATGGCAAAGTCCGATTCTTTGACCTGAATTTCACAGCTCCTGATGCCCTGGTGTGTGGGAACCCAGCCTTAAAGAGGTCAGCTTTTGCACAAGACAGGTACTGCAAGAACAACTTCAGTGACCTCACCTCCTCCTTCGTTGTACTGATGGAGCTCACAGTAGTGAACCAGTGGCATGATATTGTTTCTGGGAAGACAGTGTGACACACAGGGGATCAGCACTTTGGGTGGGTGGGGCATGTTGATAGCACTCCTAGGAAAAGGGTAGTGTCTTGGCATCTGTGCCTAAGCTCAGGGAACCCACTAAATTTTTCAGAAGTCTGGATCCTTAGCCTCCTACTTCTGGCAGACGTCTTTGTCCTGGTGACCCATCAGGTGGCAAAGCTGTACTTCATCCTGCTTCACATCGTGGTTGTCATCCTCATTGTTAAGTGAGTTTCCTCCTCCTGCCATGGGAATCTGGGATCCCTCTTCCTCAGTGTCTAACTGCTAGTTTGCCTTTGTTCAGCCTTAGTGTAGGTTGTGGGAGAGCCTCATTTTCTGACAAAGGGAGAGGCCTTACTCCTGTCTGTGGTCCTCATAGTGTCCACCTATGCCTTGCACATCAGTGTGTATCACACCTATCACAGCCTCCCAAGTCACTTGGGGTAGAAGGGATTCGAGGCCCTGGCTGGTCTCCTGCTCTTTCCCACTGGGATGGGATCACCTTAAACACACCACTGTTAAAGTGATGCCCAGTCTCTGCGTAAACTAACACAACTTCTGGGACTTTTTAGAACCCATGAAAGCTGGTTACCTTTTAAATTATTTTTGTTTGGTACTTAGACTTCCATTGGGTAGAGTGAAAATATGCCATGAGGGTCCAGGAGGATGGGACTGTGGTCTTAAGGGTTCCAATGGGATGGAACATGACCCCGGTGGGTTTCAGTGGGATGGTCACCGTGACACTGGTGGATTCACTCCACTGTTTCCAGGTCTGTCTTGCCTCTTTCTTTGAAAGGTGCTATGACACCCTACCTCTCAAAAGGCTCTCCTCTCAGCTGGAGCCTCTAGCTTTCACTCCCCAGTTCTTGTGTGGCCTGCATTTGAATCCCTGTGCCCACTATGGTTCTCTTCCACAGAGCTGTCTGTAGGCCAACCCCATCTCAGAGCCTGGGCCTGGGTTATTGAGTTGATTGCCCAGCACCAGTGGGCCCTTGACACCTCCCGTCTCATATGACATCCCACTTTCTGCTGGAGGTTCCAGAGATGTCTTGATTAGAGGACAGAAGAGCCTGGTGGGAACCTGGCCAGACTTGTGTGTCCCATGTGGTCTGAGTGGAACACTTGGGGAAGAGGGTGAGCTACACCAAGTGACTCATAGAGAGACTACTGGAGTGCCAGCCTGGACCAAGGTATGAGGCTTCTTCCCTCTGCTAAAGGACTTGTGAGTGTCTGACAGCCCTGACTGTGTCTTCATTATGGGCAAGTCAGAAAAGGTCAAGAGTTTACCCTACTGCAAGCTAATGGACTGGCCTGGGCTACTGCACTACACACTGACACGAAAGATCTTGGAGATCTGGGGTCAGAGACAAAGACAGTTTGCTATTTGTGGTTAGAGCACCAGCCAAAGAATCACTGTATCAGTTCCCTGAGTCAGTCTCTAACCCAGAGAGGTGAGAGCTAGAAGAAGCAACTGTCAAAGTGGGAAGCTCTGGCCTTAGTGAAGGCTGCCCTTCCTCTGGGGAGGAGAGTTCATCTTTACTCTGGCTTTCAACTTGGGGATGGAACCCAGGGCCTTGCACATATCCCACAGATGGTCTACACTGAGCTTCATTCCCAGCCACTCAGGTTTACTCTGGAGTGGAAGTGTCTTCACTCCTGGGAGGGGAAGGTGAGGGGTTTTATCTTTGCCACTGCAGGCTGCACTGAGTGGGGCGATCTCTGGGCATCTCTCTCCTGGAATCCTCCCCTACACCCAAAGACAAACATTCCTCAGTTGGTCTGAAATGCCTTTGTCCAAAGGCCCTGGCTTCAGACACCTGAAATAGTCATGGAACAGTCTCACTCAGCAATGGGCCCAAGCTGCTTCTTAGAACAGAGTGCATTGTCTTCTCTACATTCACTGCTAGATTTTTCTAGTGAAACCTATGCAGTCCCTTCTGGCCAGGCAGCAACAGATCGCCCTGAACTCCCCCTCCCGCTTGCAGTATTTTCATAGCATTCATCTTGGAAGCCTTCTTTGTGGCGTATTTATTAGAAAAAAGTGAAATTGAAACTGCCATTGAGAAGAAGATTCAAGAGCTTGGAGTGGGGATCCAAGAGCGAGTAGCCTGTTGCTTTGATAACGCTGACTTTGAAGTGGGATGGAAGGGAGACATGCTGTATTGAACCTGGCTGTACCCTGTGAGCTCAGCCCTGTCCTGCCTACTGTTGGGCAGCCCCTCAGGATGTATGCTCTGGATGTGGTGGGACAGTGATCATAGGAACATGTCTGGGAGGCCATGTGAGGGACTCTGTGGGTCGTGACCATGTTCCTGTTCTCTCTTCCTCCTTGAAGGGAAGATGTGCAAGACCAGAAGCTCAATGATAACACAGATGACAGGGACAGTGGCTTTGGTGGGAAGGATGGAGACAGCAGAAGGGAAGCCATGAAAGGGCTATACTTCAGAATTGCATCAAAAAGTACGTGGTCACCCAGTGCAGAACCAGAACTAACCTTTCTCCAGACAACCACCTCCTGGTGGCCAGAGAGATGATTCCAAAATGCAGAGCTGGACTTCGTTCTACTCTTATCGGTCAAGGATAAAGACCGGGCTCCTGGCCTCTGTGAACTTGGTGTGTCTGCATGTCTGTCTCTGCTCCCTCCCACCCAGCCATCACATGTGTTGCCCCTCAGTCCCACTAGCCTTTCAGCTCCTCCATCCTGTTGTGGACCTTTGAAGATCTTGCTGACCCTCTCACCCAGCACTTTCCAGGAAGTCCCTGAGCCTGAGGCCAGGTGCTCTGTGAGGCTTCCTACTCTGCTTTCCCCACTTTCTGCACATGGCGGGGGCACCTGCATCCCTCAGTGATGGCTTTGGTCCTAAACTGTCTTCCTTACAGCTTCAGAACTCCCTATGTACGAGGCTGTGGCTTTGTTGTCTCTAAGCTATCTGCAGGGCCTAACTGTGTTTGACATAGGTACCCTTAGCAAGTCTTTACGTTAAAAATAATTTATCTTTTCTGTATGTATGCATGCACAAGTGCACATGCGTGCACCATGGCACACGTGGAGGTCAGAAGACAACTTGGAGTTGGTTCTCTCCTTCCACCATGTGGGTCCCAGAGGTTGAACTTGTCATCAGGCTTGGTGGCAAGCACCTATACCTGCTGAGCCAGCTCTCCAGCCATTAATGAAACTTTTAAAAATTACTTCATTAGGGGCTGTAGAAATGGGTCAGTAGGTAAGATCACTTGCTGCCCTTCCAGAGGCCCTGAGTTCAGATCCTAACACCCACATTGGGCGACTCACAACACCTGGAACTCCAGCTCCAGGGGATTTGACTCCCCTGTCTCACCTCCATGGGCACCCTCACACATACAAACACAAGAAAATAAATTTAAAAGTAAAATTATTTCATCAATTACTTCTCAGACTTTTGGCTGAGATCACGGGTAAAAATCACTTCATCCTTTTGCAATGGTTTAATGATTGTGTGCTCCCAGTTTGGGTTCTGGCAACAAGAGCAGTCTGAGGAGTGGAGCATGGATCCCAGGAGCAGCCCCGAGGCATGGCTGTCCTCCCTCATCTCGTAAGAAGGGCCTTCTTGGTCTTCATGGCTGGAGGACTCTATGGAGTCCATATTAGTGAATCTGCCAACTTCATCCTTCCTGTCACAATGCTGGGCTACAAAGCTCAGGGCTTTGCCTTCAATTCCAAGGACAGTGCTGATCTGTCAGGCTGTGTGCCCCACGAGCCTCAACACAGATGGATTCCATGTGTCTCTCCTTCATTTTAGAGTACAGGACTGTGGATGCCTTGCCACACCGGATGTTTGAGTCTGAAATAGCTCCCGACAAGGAAGGCCCTTCCTGGGATGAGATTCTGAACCTCTCACCTAGTGACATATATCCCAAGAATCCCAGTTTTGAAAACAGTGTACGATTCTGGGCTTGCAAGGATTCACAACTGGAAACCAAGAGAAGCTGCCATCTTTCTTTCCATATGCTAGGCTGGAGATGATTCTTCCAGCCCCCACTCTCTTCTGTGCTCGAGTCTGTGACTGGCCTCACCTGTCCTGAGGGCACAGCTGCTCTTCTGCACCCCACCAGGGATTGTTCTTAGAGCTGTTGATGGAAGTCAAGTCAAGGAAGCTGATGGAGACGGGGTTGTCCTTCAGCTGGCAGTGCTTGCCTAGCACATGAAGCTCTGGGCTCTAGCTCCAGCACTGCATAAATCATGGGTTGGGGTACACCTGTGTAAATCCCAGCACTCTGGAGGTGGAGGCAGGACATCCCAGGTCATCCTCAGCTACACAGCAAGTTTGAGGCTAGTCTGGGATGAGACCTTGTCAACCCCCTGCCACCCACACAAACAGAATGGAATGATTATTCTATACATGTGTGAAGTGGGTTTATAGACTTTTCATTTATTTTTATATGGTATTTTGCTGTTCTGTCAAAACACAGTGCTACAATGTTACAAGAATGAATTATGCATTTTCAAATGTGGAAAAGGAATAGATTCTAGTAAAGTAGCTTCAATGTGAAGAGAAATATGAATGTGAATATGTTATAAGTTTTCCTTGGGGGCAGTGGGACTGTGTTCTGAAAGCCTCTTTAATTCAGCTATAATTATAGCAAGATTTTGAGTAAGTCATTCGTTGAGGACAGTTTTCTGGATTGAATCTGAAACAGTGGTGACATGTCTCTTCCGGGAATTTTAAAGAGATTTATTTAATTAAACATTTTAATCATGGTAAAATCTGAACTGAATGAAATTCACAATCTTAGAGCTGGCATGGTAGTGCATGTCTGTAATCCTAGCACCTAGGAGGTAGAAACAGTAAAATTAGTTCAAGGTCATACTCAGCTAGTGATTTTGAGGCAGTGTGGATTGAGACCTTATCTACCTACCATCCTTCCATACTTCATTTCTTGTGTATCTAATATATATATATTGTTTTGTTTTGAGACAAGGTAGCCTAGGCTGGCCTTGGGATGACATAGTCCAAGGTGGCTTTGAACACGTGGCAGTCCTGGGATTACAGGCATAAGATACCATTCTTGGCTAATATCTATAATTTTGTTAAAAAAATATTAGCATGAATTGAATGAAATGCCTGAATTGAATTATGGTTTTTAAAATTTGACATATAAAGAGCATTTATTTTAGTTTACAGGTTATTTATTGTCATTTAAGGAATTCAATGCAGTGATATGTTCAAAAATTACCCTTAAATATCTGCATTCTTCCCTTCTCACCCCTTTCATTTTCTCACTCAGTTTGATCATTTTTCCCAGTGGTTTCTGCTTAAGTTTGTTATCCATCCTCTGGAACTAATTTACAACCATGTGGATTGTGTATATTAATATGTAACTGTTTTAAGTGGGTGCCATATTTCATGTTTTCATATATATTACTCAACCTGCCCTTTCCACTTGCCAATTGTTATTATTGATAGACAACCAAGCCTTCCATTCCCAGCCATGTTTTGTGGTTTAAGAATTCACCTATTGTGCACGTATATGCTGTTTCACATGGTCAGCATTTGGTAGTAATGGAGTAAACCTTGTTATACAGGTTTTATCAGGTGGGAGCCCTTCAGCAGGGGTTTGAGTCAGAAACTGTTCTGACTGGCTCCACCAGGGGGCATCCTACTCCAGCCATTGCTTACAAGCTTGCATAGAGGGGATGCTGTGCAAGGAACTGCTCTTTCACCAGCTATCTCAAGCTTTTCAGTAAACCAGTCTCTATGGGTTATAGAATTAGGACTCTATTTCCTAGAGGGCTTGGCAGAATGGCTATACAGGTCTGTGGGGGACTTGGCCATCTCCCTCTTTGCATTGCTTTGCCAGCTAGGGAGTAGTAACAAGCAGGACATGGAAACCTCCTCTGAGCATAGCACATCAGTGCCAGTGCAGTATAGCTCAGTCCAAGACTGTTCTGGAAGAAATGACTCTCATCTTCTTCCACTGTGTGTTGTTTTAGTAGTTTAGCCTAACCAATCCAGGAATGGATCTGCGTTTAACATTTCACAATGGGACAAATAAGAAAGACACGCTGGACTTGAAGGATGAGAGAAAAGAAGAAATAAGGACACGGACTCCTAGGCTATGTGCAGAGAAAGATGTGGAAGGAAGCTTTTCAGGTGTGCTTATGTCTCTGCCAAATGCCCAACCATCTCAGTTCTGATGGTCAAAGCCCACATTTTTGCTTTTCCATCAGGAATGTCTCAGAGGGAAAAAGATGTCAGTCTCACTATTATTAGAGCAATATAACCCAGGGAGAAAGGCATCAGGAGAAGTCTCTGAATCTCCCAATTAAGTGTCTTATTCTTAGCTAGACCTTGACTGTGGAGCAGCTAGCGGAAGATGAATGAGAAATGCTGTCTGAACCTAGGCCTGGGTCCAGCCAGCGTCTGAGCACTCAGGATGAGCTGGTGTGCTAAGGTAGAGAGGTGAGCTCTGTCCTTGAGGAAGCTTTAGTCTCACTAGTGGAGTGTGGTGGAAGGTTCTGGTCTCCCAATACTGACTTGTGTAGCACCCACTTCAGGTGCCTGTTAGATGCAGAGCTTTTCCCCTCATGTTGATAAACCATGTGTGAATGTAATCCAGATGATTGCAACTAAAGGGAGTTGACCGCCTGTTTATACTGAGCATATGGTCAAAACCAAATCAAAACTACTTGGCTAAAGTGTTTAATCGTTGGTGTGAATCACATGAAGGATGTTTTTAAATGTCATATAAATTGAAGATCCAGTAATGGCAAAGGGCCTGGAGTTGACGAGACTCCAGGGATGGACTCACACTGAAGAGCATTTCAGGACACAAGTTAAGACTTGATAGGTCTTAAAAAAAAAATAGGGGACAGAAGTTGTGGGAAAGTGGGTAATAAGGTAAAGGTGGAGATTGGGGGGGAGGGTCTGAATATGATCAAAATATATGAAGTTTTCAAAAACTCAAAAAAAAACCCACAAAAACCAAAACCCAGAACTTTGGGGTCCTATCCTGGTAATTTAGCCCACACCGCAGTTGCACTTACTGTTTTGTAGCAATAAAAGTATGAAAGCGGGGAATCCGGCCTGCTTCCCGCCCCAGGCGGAGGGCCCTGTTGGGCGGGGAAAACTACTATTCCCGGCATGCTCGGTCCCTGGTGCGCATGTCTACCAGAGCAACCTTGCCAAAGAGCGGGTTGGTTTAAAGCGCTGTTTTAGTTCCATGGAAACAGACCTGCTTGCAGCGCGGAGGAGCTACCAGCTGACGGATGGATTAGGGGTGAGGCTGCCGGGACCTGTAGGGGAAGCCCAGGTGCATATGGAAACTACAATGTGCAGACCAGTCCTGTCTCCAACCCACATCAATGCTACAGCCCCTGAAACAGTCACAGTACTTCAGACCAGTCCTGTCTCCAACCCACATCAATGAATGCTACAGCCTCTGAAACAGTCACAGTACTTCAGACCAGTCCTGTCTCCAACCCACATCAATGAATGCTACAGCCTCTGAAACAGTCACAGTACTTCAGACCAGTCCTGTCTCCAACCCACATCAATGAATGCTACAGCCTCTGAAACAGTCACAGTACTTCAGACCAGTCCTGTCTCCAACCCACATCAATGAATGCTACAGCCTCTGAAACAGTCACAGTACTTCAGACCAGTCCTGTCTCCAACCCACATCAATGCTACAGCCTCTGAAACATTCACAATACTTCAGCAGAGGATGAGAAGAGTTGAAGAACAGACCAGTTCTGAGAGATGATCGAATAATGTTGGGCTATGGTGACAAAAGAGGTCAGTTGGAAGCTTCAAACTATTTAGAAGACCTCACCAGCCAGAAAGTCATCAGTCCTATCCCAAGTGAAGTGACTTGTCCCAAAAATAAAGACATTTTATGGAAAAACTGTGAGTTTCTGGTAAACCGAATGTGTCATTTGGAAAGCCTCATCCAGTCCTTAAAGATGAACATCTTTCATCTACGAACTGGAAAGGAACTAAATCCACAGAAAACAGCCTTCCTGAAGGATCAGCTGAACACAATACAGGAGGAGCATTCCAAGGACCTGAAGCTGTTGCACCTTGAAGTGATAAATTTGTGCCAGCAACTGAAAGATGTCAAAGAGGAAGAAGACAAGGCCCAAGATGAAGTGCAGAGGTTGACTGCCACTCTGGAAATAGCCTGAGACAAAGAAGAAAGCAGCTATTATTGAAGAGGAGCTTTAGCGACCGCGAAAGGTAAAATGAACCTTAAAATTCAGGAGCTAAGGAGACAGTTGGCTCAGGAGAAGAATTTCAGGGACTCTCTTGAGAAGTCTGCATCTTCCATGCTACTCAAAATACAAGAAATGGGGTCAACAGTGGAGGCAGAACGGAAACAGGCACATCCTCTGCAGCAGAACTGTATTGCCCTGCAAGGTTCTATACAGACCACCCAGGAGCTCCTGGCACAGGAGCAACAGAAGAATGGAGAGTTGGAGATGGCTACCTCACAGCTCAAATCTGACCTAATTTCCAGAGATGACCTCATTTGCAAGTTGGTTGAAGAAAATAAGAGCGTGCAAATGTCTTTCAACAAGGAACATGAAGAAAACACATATTTGAAATCTGAAATGACATCCCTTCATGATGTATCAGAAAAAGCACAGGTTTTGAATGACCACCTGACCAGAAAGTGTTCAGAGCTAAGCAGCACGCTTCAGACTGTTAAAATGGAAAATGCCAGAGTTATTGCTGAACATCATGCC